CCCACCTCTCCTGCACAGTGAAGCAGGCGCCATCAGGCCGTCTCACTCTGGCTCCAGATTGTTCTCCCGAGGGTACCATCACCATCAGGAGGGCTTTTAAAAGCTACAGGGAACACTACTTGCGGTGTTCCAGAACACCGGGGAAAACAAACCGTCTCCAAGAGAGAGATGCATTCAGGCTCGAACACTTCATCACTTGTGATTCGAAACTGTAGTCACCGTGTGAAAGTAGACAAAAATTTTCACAGCAAGAGAATTTTGTTGGTGCTTTTTTTTTGGAATACATTTTGTCGACGTTGGTATTACCTGGTACTAGTTGTACTTACTGGAAGCTTCATTGTAGTACACGGAGATGCGCTCTAACTGCAGATCGGAGCAGCCATGGTACTCGCCACTCGGGTCGATGCCGTGCTCCTCCGAGATCATCTCCCAGAACTAAACGAACACAGAGACGGGTATCCCGAAATTAGCAACAACGGAGAAACATCAGTCGTCATCGTACCTTACCACGACCACGCGTGGCGCGTGGCAACTGATAGGATGATAAAGACCCGTAATTCGGCGTCTGTCGCGGGTCATTGCACTCTGGGAGGCGCGTCGCGATTCTCTGTAGAGGAACCACGTTGGAGCAGGAAGAAAGAGTCGAGGGAGGGGGAGAGAGTGAGTCAGAGAGAGACAGACAGAGAGACAGAGACAGAGGGTCGTGGCGCCGAGTAGCGTCAAACTCCTAAGCGCCGCTCGCAACGCCGGATGTCCATTTTTAGCCTGTCCTCCTGTCGCCTCATGCAGTGTCGCGACGGGGCTTAGCCCTCTGGCCGCGCGGGGCCCCCGGGGCAGGGGTCGCGTCTAGGGCCTCCCGACGATTCACGGCCCGCACGGCGGCGTGGCGCCGGGAGGGGCCTTCCCCCTGATGCACCTGCCCCCTTCCCTCCTCTCCTCTGAGCTCCCACCCCCCGCCGCACTCCCGCAGACGGCGGCGGGCGCGCGCTCCCGAGGGGGTCGACGGACGCCCCGCAAACGCCCCGCACCCGAGCGCGTCTCATTGGACGTCTCAATTGATGCGCCCAACAAGAAAAGACGCGGGGGTGCCCCGTCATGGCCTGGCCCATTTACCGGCTCAGTCGCCGTGCAGCCTGTCTGTCGGGGCGCGCGCGGGAAGAGGGAACGCAGGGGAGGGGGAGGACACCTGAAAATAAACTAATGCAGGAAGAATTGAAGCGACGAGGAAGAGAAAGGAGGAAGAAGGGACAGAGGGAGGTTCATCCGCGCGAAAGGGAGCCGGCAGAGACGTGCAGCAGAGGCGTGCAGCAGAGACGATCCGAATGGTCTGCCCCTCGCGCCCCACCCGTCGCGCCGATTCGATACGGCCGCCGGCGCGTCATCTTCCAAGGGAATCTCGTAATTATTACCGTTGCTGCCCTGCCTCCGGACCCAGCGGCGCCCAGCAGCGCCCACCGCGCCGCGGCTCCGGCTCCGGCCGCTGCAAACGCTCACTTGGGAGGATGGGCAGTTCAAGTGAGTTAAATCGCTAATTCTCTCCACAGTTTGCGATATACTCACTGCTTCCCCTCATCTTTACTTCTTTTGTATTTTTTCTTTCCTCGCAAAGAGGATTAACAGTAATGGTCTTGACGGCGGTCAGTGTACTGTTGCGCCGAGTGTGGGTGTGATGAGGATGAATCACACTCCCTTTCTTCCCTTTTCCTCTCCCCCTCGCATCTTGTCTGCTGAGACGCAAAAAAACCTTACATGATAGACAGACGTAGCCATACTGTGAGCATTCTGAGCAAGCCAGCCGAATATTATTATTTTTCGCAGTGATGGGCGCCGCGCCGGCGCCTCTCCTCCCCCTCCCAGTGCTTTCATTAGCGCGATGGACGGTGCGAGCGAGGCGCTGCTGGGCGCTCACGAGACGCAACTGGAGTTATCCGATTGAACGGGCGGTAGCCTCGCGATATTAGATGAGGAGCTAATTAATTAAATCCATGGCAAACTAATCTGATTTTTATGAAGAATAACCAAAACGGCGGAAATTTTAAGGGGAAAGAGGTACATGCCGGTTTCTCAAGGCAAGTCTGTGGCTGCTTTGAGACGGCGGCAACCCCAACCCGTTCAATGCCCGTTCGGAAGTCAATATTAATACGGTTTTCGGCTATAATAATGATGATGATGAGATGACAGGATTCTTGACGTCCGCCTGTTGGGATGGGCTCTTGGTACTTGAACTTGACTTGTCACCACCCGGCTGGTCGGCGGGGTGGGTCGTGCTGCCGTGTACTTTTCGGGCGGGGCAGTGAAAGGCTCATATGGGGACACGGGCTGGGCAGTGAGAGGCGTGCTCAGTGCAGCGCACCCCAGCGCCCCACACGGAGGCTCGGTGCGCAGCGCGGCGCACAAGGCCGTGCATGTCGGACGTGCGGCCCGCCCCCGACCGACGCTTTCTCTCCCTTCGACATGCATAATAACCATTAGGCTGTCAAACTATTATGATGGATCGTGTACCCGAGTGACCGCGCTAGTAGTGCGTGCCGCGCGTCGTGTCCCTCTCGTCCTTCCCGACGCACTGCTTCTCTTGGGGACGGCTGAGGCCCCGGGATGGGCGTCGAGAGGTGTAGTCAGGCCCGGTGTACCTATACATTCCCATACATTCCGTCCCTCTCTCTCTCTCTCGCTCGCACCGACGCGTGCTCCCGACGAGGACGACACCACACCGCTGCAGCCCGGCCTACCCGCGCCCTGCACGCCTTGCACTTCGCGTCCCGTTAGCCTGGCCGGTACCCGGGACCCGGCTGGACCCGGCGGGGGGCCGGGCGGGGCCGGGTCTGCTCGCGCCTGGCCTACCCTAGCCTAGGGCGCCACGCGAGTACCCATACCTCGGGTACTGCGGGCTGGGTTAGCCTAGGAGCCGCTCTGGAACAGAGAGTAACAGCGGAAGTTAAAGTCGTCGCGGTATAGGATGCATATCTTGAAAGAGCGACCGGGCTGCTGGGGACGGAGGTCCACGTCCAACACGCAGGGCCCGTCCCCAGCCCCCTTCCCCTCCAGCCAACATCTGATGCGCCTCCCGCCTCAGTCCGATTGTGGAGAAAGGGGGAAGGGGGAAAGGGAGGCCCACTGGGCATTGTGGTCCTGATTCCCTCTGTATCCCTTTGGGCGACGACCCGAGCCGCGCGCCGCCACAGCCGCGCTGCTGCTGCTGCAGCCCGCCCATCTCCTCTATTGAGAAGGGCGAGATATCTCGGCCCGATATCGATTTCCTGTCACGCTACTCATATCGGAAAAGTGTCGGAGAAGAATGGTCATAAACCGAATCGGAGAGGAAGACTATACAGCGATAGCCGATGGACCTGCACCTCAAAAGGGCTCCCGGTCCGGGCTGCAAGAGCCAAAGATAATTTGAATTGGAATAAACATGCCGATGAAAAAAGGTTCCTAGAATCAAATAAATTTTACAGGGTTTGTCATCTCTAGGGTTAACTTGTACGCCCTGCAACGTCCGAGAAAGGAATCAAGCGGAGACTGAAACATCGAGACACCCTCGTAGTTTGCCCTGAAGAGCAGAAGAGAACAAAAGATTCTTAATTGAAAACATTTATTTACTCTGCCCTTCCTTTTTTTCAGTGTCCGTGCCCCGTGCGTGCCGATGCCGTGTGGAATAGCCAGACCGCGGCGCCGCTTCACGCAAGCATGCGCGCCCCGCAGCGCCCCGCCTGGGCCTCCCGCCCCTCCGCCACCCCCGCACCCGACGAAGTCTATGATTTAAAAACAACAACGATTTCAAAGCAACCTTCATCAGAAGCCGCACTCGTCCTCTCAAACCTCGTAGGGGTTTTCCGCTCGCAACTAAAATTAAGTCAGACACCAATATGACAAGCGCAAACTTTCCAAATAGATTTTGGAAGAGGCACCGCAACACTATTTTTCATCATCATCGGTCGTAAAAATAAACAGGCGGTATAGGGTTGGGCTCGGAGCCTCTCGGCCCCGCGGCCCGGCTCGCCAAGATTAGACGAAATGGAGAAAATTGTCCGAACATCCCGCCCCGGCTCCGGCAGCGGGCTCCAGCGGGCCGGCCGCGCCGGAATGTGGTCGGCGGAGCCTGCTGAGCCTGCTGAGCCGAGCCGCTGGATAAGACCCACCCGCCGCGCCCGCCTAGCAATACCGCTCCACAAAGTGACCTGCTTTGCAGGGACACACCCCCGAGCCCGAGCGCGGCGGCGCGCGACCGCAGCCGTCGTGCGCGCCTCTGTGTGTGTGTGATTGTGATAGTGTGTGCGTGCGTGCGTGCGTGCGTGCGCGCGCGTGTGCGTGTGTGCGTGTGTCTGACCGTGTGTACTTTACTGCAGCGGAGTTCGATGCCGCAGGACAGTCGGAACCTACAATTGCCTGTACTGTACAGTACTCCCGGTAGTGAAAGCAGCGCTTCTTCGCCGAGCCGACTCATCAATCTGCTGCGGGGTTCGCGAGCTTCACTTTTGGCGAACGACTTTTTTTACGAGTTGGGCGTGCGTCGGAGTCGAAGTGCCCTGCCGTGACCAGCGCTCCCGTCACGCAGCCATAGGGCGACTCTGCTCGCGCGGCGATGCTATGCACCCACCACCGTCATGGCGATCGAGTCGCCAACACCCGGGTCCCTCTGGTGCCCCGTGGGCGGCGAGAAAATCAGGCAAACAGTCTCCAAGGTCCTGTCATATTTAGAGCGCTTCCTCCTCGACGTACGCCTGACTGGACATGGTAGGCCACCGGCTCCACAGGGC